ATCTAAATATTATAAATGCGAAAGTTTGGATATTTGGATGGACGGATGAATGGATGTATGTTACTCAATCACGCCAGAACGGCTGAAGGGATCTGGATGATATTTTGCTCAGAGATAGGCTATAGTCCGGAATTTTTTTTTTCAAAAAAACGTTACCCCACACTAGGATTTTCTCCTGTATCGTGGAGGCAGTTTACAAACATCCAGACCCGGAACAATTATTTGTAGACCATACAAATACTTGTTCGATTGATTCGAACCCGCGGCTCCCAGTACAACAATTCATTGCTAAGCCACTGCGCCACGGAGCTGCCAAATATCATATATGATACCGTTTATTCAGGTATTTCGTTGCCGTGGGATAATTATCGAGTTACACACGTTCGAAGCCGAACTCTTGAGTGATTGCTGCATGACCACTCGGGGAAAACTAAACATAATAAAATAAGCAATCTATATTAGGTATATAGAGCCACAGACGTATACCTAATAATTTCGTGGATTCACCCGCGTCATCACGTGTCCGAGATGCGTGGCATGACATGACACCTAGTTCAAGCATTTTATAATTGCAATCAAATATTTTATTTGATTGTAATGTATGGAAAAATTGTCATGATTAATGGAGTACTTTTATTTTATCTGTCGGCATATTATGCGCGGTTTTTTCCAGTTTTAAAGAAAAACGTACACGATTCATGAAAAGTGTGTAGGCAAGAAATGATTCTTGATAAATTTGCTATCAACCTCTTATACTTATTAATTAATTAAATTTAAACTTTCAAAATACCATAGCAACGTGAAATGAAAGAGTTCAGAAATAAAGATGTAACTAATCATTGCTACGCTCACCCGGGAGATAGATAAAAGTACTCAATTAATTTTGAATTTATTTTAGCTACTTGCTGTACCCCGCGACTTCGTCCGCGTTTAGTTTAGGGCGTTAATATTGTTGCAAAGACACCTAATAATTTTTCTAAAATTTAAGCAGGCTAAGTTACTTCTTATAACATGAGCTATCTACTAGTGAAAGTCCCGCCCAAGTCGGTCCAGCCGTTTTGGAAATTAACCGCAACAAACAGACTGACAGACATATAAAAATGTTAAAAATTGTGTTAATGTTATAAGTACCGTATACAGTTTCATACGCAATTAGTAAAAAGCTGTTATTTTGACATTACAAACAGACACTTCAATTTTATTTAATTGTGTATATATAGATAACGATTGAACTAACGGCTAACCTAACCTCGCTCATAGAAGCTTTCAATACTGGCTTCTCAGTTCGCACCGGGCTAGGGGTTATGCGTTGTTTGCGCGTCAAGCCAAGTAGGTATTGAATTATTTTAATTTTACATTATCTCTTAAACTATGTACTATATAAACATGGTATAAAGAACGAAGTTTATCTTCATAAAATTGTCTTGATAATGAAGTAACTTTGGTTCGTAAGGTGCCTAATAATTAAATTTTCATTTTTTTTGTCACAAAATGCCTAATTGTGGCTTATATATAAGAAATAGACATATGGTATCGCGGACTTTTTTTAGACGGAGTAAAGATCTATATTTTTCTAGAACATTCGTATCCCGAACCATAACAGCGCTTTTTCTTCTGACTTCCTTAACAAATATAGGCTAGCTGAGATATATAGCCTAATGCTGTATAGCCTATACTATTCAACATGAATCTGGCTATAATATCCAAAAAAAGATTTTTCAAATCGGACTGGTAGTTCCAGAGATTAGCACGTTTAAACAAACAAAAACCCTCTTCTGCTTTATTATATTAGTATAGATGTTGCATCGTGTTCGTGTAACTTCGTTTTTATTCTAACGGTTCGGAACACCGTACGAACACGACATGCGTGAATACTAGTGTCGATATGCTCATCACTGATACTATCTCTGTCGGGCACGATGCCAGGTGAGACAGCGTGCTTTTTGGCCGCGCCCACCAGCGAGTTCGAGCCCGCGACTTGTGCCACCTTAAGTAGCAATAACAATTAAGTTAAACAGGATAGCGGGCCGGTCTATTTTTCAGCGAGTCAAGTTCGAAGTGTTGCCCTCACGCGCATCTCCTGCCACTCGCCGCTCGTGTGTACGAGCGAGTTCAGTTTAGTGCATAAGTTGTCAGGACGCAACATATTCGCGTTCGACCATCAAAATATAAAATTGTCCTTTTTTAATTAAACTCGCCACGAAGTCATGTGCAACGCTACTGCCCAAACTGTTATTTAACCGTTTACTGTCAACTGCCCTGTAACTAAACTCGCTACTGTACTTTACTTGTCAAAATGTCAATCGGCCCTAATGGTTGGCCCGAGAATACCGAACAGAGAAAATCGAATTGGAAGAGTTCCAGTGTCTGTGTAGGTAGTTGTTAGACTACGGCGTGAAGTGGCGGAAGGGTTGTCCTGTATGTAATTACTCCAAGGGTTGTACTTTGCAGCAGAGGTAAATTTGTCGAGGAAACCAGCCCCATGAAAAAAAAGATCAAGTAATATGTACACTTGTTTTTTTTTTATAGGATAGGGTGACAAACGAGCACATAGTGCACCTGCTGGTAAGTGGTTGCTGTGGCCCATAGACATCTACATTTATACCCGTTTGCGAATCAAAATGCAGACGCGTTGTCACCCGTGGGAACTAAGATGGAAGTATTGAATTTAAAATTGAAGTATTAATTTCTGTTATTTTTAATAATATTTTACTTTTTAATAAAATATTTAAACAATAAAATTATTATTATTGAACTATTTAACTTTTGTTTCCGCACCGAATTGAAACAAGTCGCCAACAATTTGAGAAACATTTTAGTTGACAACTTGCTATCTCCACCAAAGGTTTGTTGGCAACAAATATGTCTTCAAGAGACGATAATATGCTAGCAGCCGATGTATTTATATTATGTAAAAAAAAAACGTAAGCATTAAAGCGTAAAAATAAATTGAGTACGACCAAGCCTCAAAGGAAGAAAAGTACATGGTGGGATTGAGCTATATCTCGGAGTATAAAAAGCCGCAGCTCTAGATTTATTTTCATCTTTAAATTTTTTTCTTCTCCCTGAAAAACTGTCTCGTCAATTTTTTTTCTTTGAATTTCTAGTTCGTTTAGCCCCACAACGTCATATTATATTTTTCAATGCATCCTTTTTTATCTTTATCATTTTCATTAGAATTAATGTTTCAATTAACTCGTTCGTCCACGTGACAGACATGTTGCCAACTAGTTTCCAACAAGCGTCTCCAGAGGGAACGGAACAAATGTTTGCAAACAGCGTATTCCTTTGACGTTACCGCCGAAAATGGGAACACGGTCCCGACATTGTATACAATTTTTGTTGCCAAAATAAGGTAATTACAGAAACTTTTGTCACAAGCACGTATTGACAATACAAAAGTTTGCAACTTTTCTTTGGAGACGCGGCATTAAGCCGCGTCTCCCACCAGTTTTGTTGTCAACACAACAAAACATGTTTCCATTTTCGGCGGCAACATCAAAGGAATACGCTTGTTGCAGACATTTGTTCCCTCGGTGGAGACGCTTGTTGACAGAAACATTTGTTGGCAAATGTGTTGACAACAAAACTTTGGTGGAGACGCGCCATAAGATCGAATAAAATCAAACCCGCATTTTGGTTTTACCGTTTATCACCAGTTTCAATTGTATTTTTGGAAGATTTTTTTTATAATTAGAGGAAATCTTATAGTAATTATCGTAATGTTTACTATTTAAATTGATCGATTTTAATTGATTTCTATTACATAATATACGAGTAGGGCGGGCATACACCCGGTAATTTTCGGGATTGTTACGGACGGCGAAAGGAGCCGCCGCCCCTTCATACCCCGTTGCGCCCCGCGCACCCCGCACATCGGCAGCAGATCACACGATGTCGCCAACCAATCAGCGCACGGCATCGCCTCACGACGCTACTCACATACTGAGACGCTCTCTTAAGAGATATAAGAAGGGCGTTTTGGTCTGTGAGCTATTCATTCATCGGAAGCGGCACTCGAAGACAACAGCAAGAGAAGAAGCATCAAGAGATACTCCATTGAAGATTGAAGACTCCCTCTCTGTATATAGTTTATTAGTGCCGCATTTGTAAATATTTGAATACAATATAGTCTACAGTACCATTTTTCCTTTAAGCAGTCCCTAGCGTAGTAGTTAGTCAGTCATACAGTCCACTTGCAACAGCTAAATACATACAGTCCCTAATATTCTTGGTCCTTCGCCGCCGGATAAGAAGCTAGAAGCATTTCTGTCACTAATAGGGATACTCCGGTTTTCTTGGTAAACAGACAGGATCCCAGTTCTTCAAATAAATGAATTGTATCATGATTTCGTAGTGTTATATTCTTTCTTTACAATCATGAGCGCACGAACAGTATCATATTTTAGTTAAAGTAGATTATAACAAATTATTAGAGAAAACCTATTTCTAATTGGTCATTCGTTTCATAAAGTAGGTTATAAAATCTCTTTTCCTACGAATCGGTGTAGGTGTGGTCACGCACGCTCGGTAACCTATAATAGTATAATCAAAGTAACTTACCTGTAAGTGAACTTCGATCACTATTATACGCAGTTAACGCCTCGTCTGATCTGACTATGTAGTTTATGCACTTTTCGCATCAACAAACACGCGTTCAAAGAATTGGTTAAAATTAACCAAAAATAAAAATTTATTTGTGACGGCCACCCTGGCAACACTGGCCGGCGTACGACCAATCATTATGACGTTTCGTGCCGAACAATCTGCGTCGTATCTCTAAAAAAATTGTGAAAAATAAATCTACAAAGGAAAAAAATTAAACGTATTAACTAGAAAATGGAGAATAAGAAAGAAAAAATACACTCCATAGCCAAGAATTATGTTTGAATAAATTAGGAAAAATACCAACTTAAAAAAATACATAACCAGGAAGAACCGGAATCCCGGTCCCGAACTACCTTTAGAACCGGATAAATAAAAAAAAAGTACACATTATTGTACTATTATTTAATGAACAATTTTTAACATTTTAAGCATTATTTTAATTTCTTGGAACCTGGTTTCTCCTCGTCCTGGAACTGCCTCTGGATCTGCAATAAAAACGTAAAGTTAAGAATAATGTTTATAGCATCTATAATTTTCGTCGAAGTTTCGTGAAATCAGATTATAAAGCTAACCTCAACAGAATTCAGAACAGGTCTGTGAAGTGATCATCATATTGCATTTGTAAAATTTAATAAAGGCTTTGAATACAGTTCGCTATATTAAAGTCACCTGAATTAGAAAACTCATTGCAGGTTATGATAATAAAATACCTCTCTAATTTGTAAAAAAAAAAGAAGTCATCACTTATCAGTTTTAACTTTTCAAGTGTTAAACTTACCTATTTGGACAGTCATTGTTTTTGTGGTCACGCATAGAACAAGTGACTTAATTCAAAACCTTCGTAAATCTGAAAAAGAAAAACTTCTTTAATGCCATGGATTCAATATGTACTACTTTTATTAGTGTATAATTTCAAATTCAGTCCTGTTGAGCTTGTAAATACCGTCATGGTGGCATCAGGGGGAGTTTTAACATCATTCTATAGAATAATTGTATTCTTTGTGTATGCATAAAATAGTGCACATAAAACAGAAACAATTAGTGAACTAAGTATAATGAACTAGTGAAGAAAGTAATCATTCATAGTTCACATACAGTGAAGATTCCTGATAAAGCTAGCGAAAGAAACAGAGATTCCTTACAAAATTAAATGATTGATGACTAGCTTCCAGAGAGCAAGCTCTTTCTATATTAGCTAGATATACTTTATGTTTTACTGCCAAAAAAATTACCCAGAACAATTAGTTTTAATCATCATCTCCATCTGTTATTCTCTATTTTAATAGGTAACAGAAAGGGATATCCTTAGTAACATACTATTATATTTATTACAGCACGAGTTTTCTCCCCTATCATAATGCAATATACATTTCGTAGATATTAACTGTTTAAATGTTATGCAAAGATGATGCAGTCACCGATCCATCTCATGCTTATAATATAGCTCTATATTGTATTCAATACCACTACACCAAGGTAATATGGTCAAACATTTTCGTTACCGTTCGTTAGATGGCGGTATAACCCAATAGACCTCATAAAATGTGAATCACTAACACGTTCAGCTGTGGACTTCACACTTCCCCTTTCCTTTTTAAACTTTTAGATCTGATATTAGCCTTCAACTAAGTTTAGTGCTTTTTAGTAATACAAACATAACTATGAAATTTCACTAAAAAAATATAGACAAAATCCACTAGTGTTCATCCCACGCTTTATTTTATCACGAAACGAAATATAGTTTACTATGCAAAAATAAATCAATAGTAAGAAATTAATTGATACTTAGTAAAACTTACATTTGATTACTTCATCCTTCAAATCTGCAGAGGAGGCTTGGAATAACCTGTAAGGATAAATATTCTATATAAGGTTGTATTTTGATACATGAAAATATTAAAGAGTAAAGAAATTATCAGTCCTGTTGAGCTTGTAAAAACCGTCATGGTGGCATAAGGATAAGTTTTATCATCATAATCTAATACTGGAAATATTTATTCAAATACAGGTTGAAAATTAAAGTACTAGTTAAAAAAAAAAGGAATTATTTGAGAAAATGATTCTTTGTTTCTTAAGCGAATTGCTTTTGAATAAAAAAATAAAATATAACATACCTTGCATTAAACAACGCCCATCTCTAGGTGGAGGTTTAGAGGCATCTGTAAAAGACAATAAAATAATTTAATAAAAAAAGTAGATTTCACCATAACATCGACATAAAATTATAACTTTCAGAATTATGTTATTTTTGTCCTCAATAATATCAGAACAGGTCTGTGGAAAACTCATCAGGAGAAAATGTACATGTCAATATTGTGAATACAAATACCTGATTACTGTATTTAAAACAACTGTTTTTATTACAAAATTTCGCATGAATTGACGAGAAATTTGTGCAGGTTGCTTACTGGTGAAAATTTAATAAAAATTTAACACATTAACTTATATAAAATTCTATTACTAAACTGGAATATGTAAGCCATTTTATTACACATATAGATTCCTCTGCTTCCATAATGTATAAATGCCTAGGAATAATTATAAGCAGATAATTTAGAGTCAGTTTGAGGCTTAGCGGCCGCAACGTCGATTAATTGAAAGTTTCAAAAAATCATAATGAAATTTGTGCACTCTCAACAATATTGATTTATTGTAGATGTTTTTCTACAAATGAAATTGAGTACAAATATAATTTACATTTTATGTTATATATTTCATATTTACCTTTAAAGAGGACAGGATACATAGCTGCAATACATAGGAAACTGTAACAGAAAAACAATGTAAATAACATGTTTTGTAATAAACTAACAAACAGCTTTCTTATTGATTACAGAAGCCAGTGCTTGACTACAACTACATTTGCTTTCAAAGTTATTTTAAAACAATTTAATATTTTAAGCTACATATCAAGCAGTATTATAAAAAGCAACAAATTAAAACAACTCACCTATAAAATTAGTATCTATTTTCCTACTGTATTAATAAATTAAACTACAATAATTTACAATAAAAAAATTATAATTTAAAAATAATTACAGTATAATTAAAGATGTCCAGGTTCCCAACTACATATTATGACAATGTTTAACATAGTGAAGGGATTTTAATATCGTTTTATAAACTGCGATACTACCTTTAAGTCTAGTATCACATATGGTAAATATTAACAATGCATATCTTCTATCAATAATTTATTGAAAGTTTTGAAACATGTCTCCCGTGGCACTTACAAACTGAATGAGGCAAACAACGTTTTGTATATATGGAAAGTAATAGTATGATAAAATAAATTGCAGTGCAGTGATGCGCTTGGTAATGTTACATATATTACAGTATGGATTGCATTAGCTACGGCGTTTACAATTTGTCCAAGTATTGACTTAGGTCTGGGAGACCCTCCTTCAGTCCTTTCCTTTTCCTTGTATCCTGTTAAACAAAACACATTAATTAGTTATTAAAAAAAAAACTAAGTTGTTTGGATGTTTATTATTTAACATAATTGAAATTAATGAAATGGTGAGATTTGGCCTAATTGACATGTCCTGGTTGCTAACAATGGGGTACATTTTACTAGCGATAAAGTTAAGATGCCAAAAATGAACATGAAAAGATGCTGAGGTGCAGGACAAATAAATGCAATCAGTTACTGCTTTCGACAAGTGGTAAAATAAAAAAAAAATTATACAACCAACTTCAATATCAATAAAATGAGACATCATCAATGTAGCCAAAGTCAATTAAAGGCGCATTATTAAGGAGATCTCAAAAACTACTGGTCAGATCTTGATCAAATTTATATGGGACCACATGAGAAGCAGAGGAATTGCAGTGACAAAACAAAACCGCCAACACGCATTGGGGCAGCGCGGCGGTCACATGCCCTAAAACCCTCTCAGAAATGATGAGAGGCCTGTACCCAGCAGTGGGATGTATATAGACTGTAACTTTTAACATGAGATGCACCAGCTTTCAAATAATAATCAAAATCATTTCATCTAGAAAAAAGTTCTTGAGGTAAACATACATTGGAAAATAATTCATAGGTTCACATTTAGATGTAATGAAATTTACAATTGCTTTCCTCCTTCAATTTTGTCCTGTAATGGCTATCATTATCAGATATTATATATTTCAACTCTTCACCCTAAACATGTTACTAGCATAATATAAATATAATCGAATAAACAATTTAAGACTTCAATGGTAATAAAGGTGTTATTATAATTTTCAAATTAGTTATATCAAATAAACAATTGACTTCAATGGATAAAGGTTGTTCTTATTATTTTCAAATTAGTTATATCAAATTTACAATTGTAAATTTGAAAGGACAAAGATTTTTATATTTAGTGTTAAATATTATTTTGTGATGTAAAATTAAATCTAATAATGTAATTTAACACCTTTATCACACTTGTTCTTAATTTATAATGACGACAATGTATCGCTTGCACCGTAGCATGCAGTCCTCGGACATAAGGATAGAGGTCCTGTGCAGCGTTTAAATGCATGTGAGATGTGCTCTGCTTCCCCGCTGGCCGACGCCTTCCTCGTGCGATGACGCAAAGCATCAAACGCACTCAAACGCGGCACGGTATTGGGGAAGCGTATATTATTAAAAAATCTCATTTTGAAAATATTAAAATAAAAATTGCAAAGGTTACCTGAACGACCACGTAAGGTTTGCTACCAGGCTCGCATGGGTCACCAGGCAGAACTTGCCAGTGATCGAACACACACTGCGGGAAAGCTTGTCCTCCAGTGTTGGAACGCAGATCAGCCGTGAATCCGAACGACTCGTTGACAGGTAAATAAGCCTTGACGACAAACATGGGGGTTCCCGCAACTTGAGACTCCTCGAACACGTGACCACGACGTCTGTTCAGCACACCGTAGATACCTCCGACGGCAACTTCGGGACACTAGATAAATAGTTTTTGTTATATTGGTTTGCTGAATCTTCTTAACTTATTTTTAAAAAAGATTGAAAGCGAAAATAACAGATAGTTAATCTTTAGAATAAGGATGACAAACAAGTACACAATCCATCTCATGGTAGTTTCATAATGAGGCTCATAGACTTCTACATTTGTCATCAATTAAGAATTAATATGCAGATGCCTTGTCACCCATTAAGACTGATGGAATGCCCCATATCCAGTAAAAAGAGTCTACTGGTTATCACCATACCAAACACAGCCGCATTAAGCTGCAATTTTACACTGGTATTCTGTATGAATGTGGTCTTTCCCCAGTGGAGCCGACCCATTCATGCTAAAACCATAATATAGCTGCAGCATGACTGCCACACAATATTTATTATAGAGAATAGCAGACAACATATTTAATAGTTTATCTTAGCTCACTATTAATTGTCTGTTGAAATATGTAATTCCTATGAAATAAGCTTTTAATATTTTATAGCAGATAATAACTCTGATGTTAGTTCCCCTATTCAGGCAAGGCGTATGCGTCGTGACAATGCCAAAACAAAGAACTGTTGCTCTGCCACGTATCGGAAAGGCGACCAGGTGAAATCTTACCAGGCCGCTTAGGATGCTACGTGGCTTATTTCTCATGCAAGAGAAATTTGAAACTAGAGATATTTTTAACATTATGAAATTTAAATATTTTCAACAAATTGTGTTCCATATAATGTTCATTAAGTTATCTACTTTCACAGGTCCCTTTAGTTCATCAACTTAGTAATCAAACAACACACCTGAATCTCACATAGGTAGACAGGCTCCATGATCCTGGGCTTGGCAGTCAACAGACAGGCATATAGACATCTCCTCGTAGTTGGAATGATTTGGCCACCACCTCTGTGGAAATTAAAAAGGGTTTTATACATGTCTTAAGCTTCTTTTAGTTTCAATTTGACTTGTTTATTCTGTCCATGCTTAACCCCTCTGCTACTGACAATTTTTTAATTGTCAATTAAACAAAAGTTCTTAGCAAGACAATTAAGAGCTAAAGTTTCTTTCAAGTTAATTTTTATGAATGTTTTGCCAGCAAAATTACACAAGGCTCAATAATTTAAACAATTGGGCAGCAAACAGTGCTAACACTAGAATTCTTAAGAGTCACCATTCATAGCCCTAAATATTATGTAGTACATATATGATAAAATAAAAATAAAAGAACAAACCTGTGGATAGCATCAGTATGTAAGGTAACATCATATATGTTGAAGCGGACACCTCTCAAGTTCTCTTCTGCCATGACACCTTCCTTAGTAGCCCACTGGAAGCCAGCCACTACAGAATCCTTAATCTCGTTAAGATACTGTACTCCCTTTGTGCAGTCTACAAGAATGTTAGGGCCAGTGTCTTCAGGACCGAAACACCAGATTTTACGGGCTTCAGTTACGTCATATTGGTACTTCTCGCCGAGGTAACGGGCACGGGTCTTGAAGTCGTCACGTGGGTTCACACGACCCTGTTGAAGCGAAACAACAAATTTAGTTTGAAGAACTAAATCAGCTGTTTAACTGTTTAGGCTCTGAACTTTATTAAAATGTATCGCTTGCGCCGTAGCGTGCAGTCTTCGGACATAAGGATAGAGGTCCTATGCAGCGTTTAGACGCATGCGAGATGTGCTCTACTTCCCCGCTGGCCGACGCAATCCTCGTGCGACGACGCAAAGCATCGGACGCACTCAAACGTGGCACGTTATGGGGGAAGGGAGTGTAAAACATTATTATTTTCTATATTGAATTTTACAAATAAAATTATAATATTAATTTGAAAAAAAAGAAAAAAAACTATTTCCACAAGGAACTGTTTTTCACACATGTTAAAATTGAAAATATTTTAACACTACATATAATAAAAAATCACTGATTAACTACATATTATAATAAAATCTCTACAAACCTCATCAATATCCTCAGGCAGACCATCAGGCATGGGTTGAGCCTTCATGAACAGACGGTTGTGCTTGTTGGGTGACTTGGACAGACACATCTGATCAGATTCCTCATTGACAGTCTCACGGTATGACACCACAGGGTCAGATTTCTTGATGGGAATGCAGGCATGGTCTTCTTCCAAGTCCTATAAAAATAAAGTAATAGGAATAATAATGTGCTTAATATGAAAACAATAAACCGTGCTACACAAAGTTAAATTTTAAACTTTATTATACCTTAAGACAGATTTCAAGATGCAGCTCTCCAGCTCCAGCGACGATGTACTCTCCAGACTCTTCACTGATACACTGTACCATAGGGTCAGATTTGGCCAAACGCTTAAGACCTTCCACCAGTTTCGGCAGATCAGCCGGGTTCTTGGGCTCGACAGCAACACGCACAACAGGCGACACACTGAATTTCATGACCTGAATAAGTTGAACAAATCTTAAAAACAAAGTATGTACCATGTACAGTCAAAACTGGACATATTGACATTGCTAGAATGACAGATCAGTTATTGTGAGGAAATAGCTAGGGTCAGCAAGTCCCTATTATATAAACACAAAGACAAATTTTTATTATTTGCAAATTAGTCCATATTTATTTTATTGATATAAATTTATGTAAATGACAAACTTGTATCAACATTGCTTATAATATTGCATAATAAGACTTTGTAATGAGGATATCAAGAGTATCCGGAATAACTGATATAGCTAATGGATCAGTAAATTGAAGTGAGAATAGGCCGGCCATATAACTCAAAGAATCAACACCCAATCGCGAGTAAAGTTCTCAAGTGGCAGCCTCATATCAAAAAGCAAAGTATAGGGTGGTGGTCACGCAAATATATGAAATGATGACTCTGAGCTAATTTGCTAATAGCCCAGGATCATACTTTCTGGATTACCTAGGAGAGGCCATGTTCAACAGTGGACTTATGATAGGCAGTACTGATAATGATATTGCTTCTAACATACATTGGATATAGTGTCTTTAGTTGGATGGTAATATTAAATGTCATTTTAACCAAATTTCACTGTACGATAGCCACCAAACTCATTTTGTAAATTATACAACATCAATACTTCATTTAAAATAAATCACTAACCTTCATGTTGTGTGCATTCTTGTATGTAGTAATGGTACCAGTCTTCACCAGGAACTGGTCAACACCAACCAGACCACAGATGTTACCAGAGGGCACATCTTCAATTGCTTCTACATAACGTCCCATCATGAGAATTGTACGCTGGATGGTCTTCTCATACATATCCTATACAAATTAAAAATATAAACATCAGAAATAGAACTAACCAAGGGCAATAACATTTCTAAAATTAAATTAATTGAAATTAGATGAAATCAAAAATTTATTTGTTGAAGTTCTTTATTACAAAGTAATAAAACCTATTTTTAAGAAAGAATGTATCACTTGCGCCGTAGCATGCAGTCTTCGGACATAAGGATAGAGGTCCTGTGCAGCGTTTAAACGCGTGTGAAATTTACTCTGCTTCCCCGCTGGCCGACGCCATCCTCGTGCGACGACGCAAAGCATCAAACGCACTCAAACGCGGCACGGTGTTGGGGAAGGAATAATATTTAGATTTTTTTCTTCAATGTTTACAAAGCAAATTAATTGTTACTTAATCAGATTGTTGTGATGCATGAAACTTACTTATCGATTTTGATTATAATAAATAATTTTAATTTGTGTTTCAATCACTCACATCTTTCTTGCCAGGCTGGTAGTTCGGTCCCATGATACGGGCCTTCTGTCCAGTGACGACCTTTCCAGAGAACACACGTCCGAAGGCGTAGAAACGGCCCTTGTCAGAGGTTGGTACCATTTTGCTTATATACATCATGAGAGGCGCTTCGGGGTCACAGTTCTGTGGTTGATTTAGAATGGTTAGTTCATTTATAATTATATTATACAAGCTATGGCAGAGTTTAAGACTATACTGACATATATCAATGTACTTACTAATAAAGAAAGCCTCCTTTAATTTTTAATGAAAAAGTAGCTTTACCTTGATGCCAATGGCAGCCTCATCATCAAGAGGGCCTTCGTAGAGCATCTCCATACGATATTTCTGTGCAACCACAGGTGATGGCAAGTGGATAGCAATCATCTGAAGAAGAGCTTCACCAGCTGGCAGCCAGCTCCTCATCACCACCTAAATCAATATATTATAATGATATCAATACAAAGCATAGTTTTATCGCAGTATAGGAGAATCAAGCAAATTATTTAAATGAGGACCTAAATTTAATATTTAAAACCATAGTCAAGAAAATAAATATTTAAAAGCTACTGTAATATATTAATTTGACTTCTTGTTAATGTTTTTTTCATTTATGGGGTCACAAACAATGTAAGCTTGTGGCCAATTCCTGAAAAACTATTACTGTAAGTCCTTTTTGACACCCAGAAACCAAATAACTGAATAACTGGCAACACTTAGGACTATGGAATTAGGTGAAAATCTTTCCCTTTAATGAAAAAGAAGATATAATAACATATAAGATGAATTATAATTCTTTGCTACAATGAATTTAATAATTTAGCCTATTAAATTAAATAATCTAACCTTAAGTAGAGCTTTGCCATCCTTGTCAGCATCTTCATGCTTGATAGCAATGTTAAGTTTCTTCAGAAGGCCATCGATCTCTTCCTTGCGGAAGTTCATGATGGCATCAAACACCTTGTAGATGGGGTCCAGCACATACATACAGAAGGAACGCTTGTTGTCAGCATCCTTCTGTTTTGACCACTTCTTAGTATTGGCATTGAAGAAGTTCTCTCCCCATAGCCTGTACAAGATAGAAATCTTAGTAATGACAAACAATCCCTTGGCAACAATAAAAGCTCAGTTTATGGTTAATATAAAATGTATCTCAGTTTTTGTTGCAAAATATTCATAAAGAACATCTCACCAATCCATTCTGAGAATATGATTTGTGTCCCTGTCTGCCGCTGGTGTATGGTATTAAAAACTTTACCCAGCATCAATGGGACTATAAAGAGCTTATAATTACAGGGGGTGGCCCTGGTGATGAAGCATGATCAGTTAAGGGAATTCTGCTTTTAAACAATTTCACGGTTGACAAATATTTCACATAGCCAGAAACCAATTTTTGAGTTCAATACCCAATAAATAAACAGTAATTGTTATAGATATAAGGACAAGCAGAACTTACAGGTATATAATTGTTATTTAGCATCTGAAAATAAGTGAATTATTAGGCAATTTTCAATAGGATATCTAAGGACCATTGGTAGTACAGATATTGCACATCCAGGTATAATAATAAATAGTATCAAACCTTGACAGTTGCTACACTGTTAATACTAGGTACTGATAATTTATGTTATCATAGTATTGTTTCTTATAGTTTATACTGATCAGTCAGAAATCCCAGATTGATCAAATTGGCAGTATATTGAAGACGAGTCAAACTTAATAGTTATCTTAACTGACAAGCAAGTAAGCAAAAGATATAGGGATATGAAAGCAATAAGGTGTGTGAGAACGGTGCCAAACAGAAGCCATAACCTCTTTCTACCCTCCTGGGTGATAGGTGGAAGAGTATGTGTGGATGTATGTAATAATTTAATTTTCTAATGCAATATTTAATGTACATATTTTGTATCATACCTGTTCATAAGCTTGACAAGGTCGATCTTGAACTTGTCAGCGTACATTTCTGAAAATTGCTTTAGGGTAAAGGCCCAGCCATGAAGACCAGAACCAAAGCCCACAGATCCCTTGCTGGGGTCGACACGCACCTCACCTGATCAATAAAATAACATCACAAGTTAGTTTTAAAAATAACAAATTTGTTGGTTCAAACATGAATTATTTATACTTTGTATAATATGTAATTGGGTTGTTTACACTATCTAGTATATTAATTAATTACCATATTATTTTAAGTTAGAATACTATATTATTCAAAAATAGACAAACAACATATATATTTTATATAATATATATATATATATATTATATAATATTACATACTTCTTTTGCTCATATTTGTATTGTTTATTTTAAAAGATGTTTCTGTCTGACCAAACCAGGCAGTATTGTAAGTGCATTAGAATTTTTTGTAATAAGTAACTGTGGTATTTGTAATTGGCAATTTCAAAAACTTCAAATAACATATTTTAAATAATCAATTGCAAAAAATATATGCAAATGGAACACTCTGGAACAGCTCTATAATGTGTAGAAAAAGCAGTGCAAAGAAATATTTGATCAGTTATATAACATAGAATGAATAAATAGAAATAAAATGTACGAAAACTAGTTTTATCTCATTTATTATTTCATAAACTTAATTCTTTAAACTTGTATTTGATATTATGTTCTACTGTGAGTAGAAATAGGAAACAGCTCCGCTTACTGCTCTAGGTACCTGCAGGTTTAATAAAAAGCTTCTTTCACTTAAAACTTTTTTGATTCTAAAACATTGTAGAACACTTTTAAATTACCATTTTGGTAATGCTTAGCAATGAGAAACAAGTGACATTAAAAAAAATTACCATGTTTTTTATCATATTCTTGCATTGTCATTCGAATTTGAGCTATATTTAAAATTTTAAGTTTCCAGCTCATTGGGAAGTTAGTTTAAAATCAATTACTAAATTCCTCCCAGAACAACAGACAAATAAGAAAAAGGCAATAAAAACTTGGGTAAGATATGAGTATTATTATTTATTCATTTTATTAGACCTTAGCAAAAATCCACTGCTGAACATAAGAGTTTCTCCATAAATATCCTCCCAGATATATTGAGATGTTTTTTTATTATTACTAAAACGAAATTGATGCTGCTTGTTTCCTGTTTCAGTTTCCCTCTACTGGAACTGGGCAGGTTAACTTGACGTAATGGATTTCTTTTATATATTTAACCAATTTGTAGTCCAGTATCATAAAATTTATATTATTAACTAAGCAGATCAAAAGGTGGCATCATTCACATAAACTTAAGATGATTTGCACATATAAAATTAAGTTATAATTTTTATTTTCAACACAACATGTTATCAAAAGTGTCACTTCCATATATGTTTATGAATTTAGGGTTAATAATGTTTCTATCATTTATGGGGTTACAAGCAATGTAAAACTTGTAGCCAATTCCAGAAAGACTTTCACTGTAAGTCCTCTTTGACACCCAGAAACTGTTTTACTAAGTAACTGGCAACACTTGGGACTATAAAATATTTAAGGAAATGACCATGTAATTTAAACTGATAGAAATAGTAAAGTTAGAGATAACATTTATAACTGTTATAAATAAATTGCAAGTGGTAAAATTAAAAAATTTGTACAACCAACTTCATTATAAATAATTTATTATTGATTTTCTAAAATAGCCAACCAATTTCGATAAAATTTAAATGGGAACCATCTGGGGAATATACCCTTTAAAACAAAAAAAGGATTTTCCAAATTGGATCAGGTGTCTTCAAGTAATCGGTAAACATACATAAAAAAAGATTCCAACCAATGGAGAACCTTCTTTTTTGAAGTCATTTGAAAATATTTCTAAATAGTGAAGTGCTTACCACATGGGTTAGTACCGTTATTCCCGTGACTACACCGGTATTGCACAATGTGGCTTCACATCAAAGTACTTGACCTTGAGAATGATATCGACCATGATAGATTACAGTCTCTGAGGTTGCATCATAAAACACAATGAAAATGTAACCACTCCATGATAAGACGATTTAATTATCATTATTAATTAGGTACTTTGCTTGGAACAATTCTAGGGTTACTTTTTGGAATAAAAAGGAATGATTGTATCTATTATTTTAATTTGGTAATACAATTTCTAATTTCTTAGGCTAAAAAATTATATTTGAAAGAGAATTCATCTTCTTGGTATCTCATTTGTGTTATAACATTTTTCTCTCACCTCTCACAGTTGCCTTTTTTTGTCTTCTGGTAGATGATGACAGCAGTGTCAGAGGTGCGAGAATGTTCATACAACAGAAAAGGCCCATGTCAAGCAATGGACTTTTACAGGTTGATAAAGACAAAGGAGTTGAATGAGTAGACAATGAAAAAGTAGAGTTAATAGAAAAGGAATACAAGAACTATGGACTAAACAAAGCTAGTACTCACCCATTGGGCCACCGTCATCATTGTAGGTAGCAATAATAACGTTTACATTTTCAACAATACGTTGGAATGTCTGGTACAGTTCTTCAGATTCAAGCTGGAGTTCAAGCAGGGCACGGTCCATCTTGTTCATGAATAGAATAGGCTTAATACGTTCGGCGATGGCCTGACGCAATACAGTCTCAGTTTGTACACACACACCTGTCATAAAGAAAGATTAAACTTTTATACTTGTTTAACTTTGACACATACATATTATGTATATAACAAAACAATCTCAAAATACTAAGCTGTTATCCTATTCATAACAGCAAATTTACTCAATTTTAAATGGTATCACAGTCACTTTTACTTAAAAATATTAGATAGCATGAGACTTAACAGCATATTAAAATTGAGTAGTGTTTGAGTATTTGGTCAATGTTATATAGTAAAATAATGGTTTTTTTTTTATAAATTTTAAATGCCTAACAGTCTACCGGATGGTAAGTGAAGGGGATACTACAGCCCCTGGACACTGGCAACCAACATTAAGCAAAGGCTACAAATGCATTGATACCTCTGAGGAATAAATGCATATAATAATTGTGCTATCATGAAAATTAAGTCTTACAGTTTATGTTACATCTGGCTGTTTTACTAAAAACATACATAATTGAGTAAAAGTTAGTTAGTCATGGCAAGTCCAAGTAACTTGCCATGACTTTAACCAAGAAATAGAAAAAAAAAAAATGCTAGTCTGGATACTTAAAGCATTTTCTATGGAACTATACTCTTGAATATTACTTTACTAGACCAAATTATATTTATATAATGAGAAAACATCTGTATACACACCAGAAACACAATCTACAACCACTAGAGCACCATCAGTTACACGGAGAGCAGCTGTTACTTCAGACGAGAAGTCGACGTGGCCAGGTGAATCAATAAGGTTAATTAAGAAACCCTTTTGATTTTTCTCACATTGGTCAGGGTTTGTGATGAAGATCAGATCCTTGTCTTCCAGTTCAAAGAACATAGAGATAGCACTGTGGAAAAGTAATTAGATTATTTTTTTAATTCATACCATTCAGAGAAATGTGTTTTTGAGTTTTCAAAATCAGCTGGCCGTTCTAAGATTCTTCAATGAATGTCAGTTTTGATGGTAAGAACAATCATCATATAAAAATGGAAATAGACTTGAGAGCAACTCTGTTATTATACTGTAGGTCATGTAGGCGAATGACCTAACAGCTGTTAATAATAAATAGATTCATATTTCTACATTTTGAATATATATTTGAAAGCAAATGAAAGTTTATTTATTGCACAATACAATGACGTAAAAACTACTGTACAAACCTGTGCAGGATATCATTTTAGCATTAAGTACATGCAATTAAAGTTTTGTTACTTACGTGGATTTGATGGTGATGCATCGATCTTGCTCATCCTTGCGGGTGTCGGTGAAACGGGTTTCGCCGGCTCTGGCATTGGCAATAATACCGGCTTTGGAGACGAGCGAGTCCGTCAACGTGGACTTTCCATGATCGACGTGGGCGATGACGGACATGTTGCGGATGTTCCGCTTCTTGTCCATCATCGTCCTGATCTCGTCTACTGTGAAATTCACCTGGAGAAACCAGAAAACCGATCAGCATCTTGATTAACACAATCACAGAATTGTAGTTTAAAATATAAAACGCACATTTTTTATTTCTGTTGATTGTAATTGCCATGCTTTTTCTTAAATAATTACAGCAATTAGTTCTCACACAACACCGACAATTCACCTCACTTTGAAAACGTCATCCGACACAAAGACTTTCCTCGCGTAAAAACTAAGTTTTATTTCGAGCATTTACACAATATTTGTAAAAATATAAATCCAGAATATAACTTAAAGAACACCGCTACACTTTTTGAAATATAATTATCAATTTCTATACTTACCATATTGGATGGTTTTTGATTTTCCTTTCAATATATTACACTACCATACGCCAGCAATGGCGTACGCTTGAAAAAGGGCCCTTTATTTTACCGTGGCCCGGATGTACCTGCCAGCCGTCAAACGACGTTGAAGTCATAGACAATTTGGGCTGCCAGCTTAAAAAAATCACATTGTATTTTTTATTTAACAAACATTTTATCTGGAAAAAGTTGAAATCAGTAATGAAATCACAAAATATTTAAATATTATTAAAAATAAGTACGAAATTTAAAATATATTTCCTTTTATTTCTGGTTAAGTAATATAATATTATCAACAATAATTGAATTGCATGCCATCTATTGTCTAATAGCGTTACTAGCATAATAAGTGACACAATGTTCGTCAAAGTTCCATTTGTTACTTAAAGATGGCATTGTTATATATGTTATTTTTATCTATATTTTACATTTTGTCATTTGTATGACAGTTTTTGTTTTTGTATGAATGTGAAATGACACAATGGGCCTGATGCTAACAAACAATAATCCCATTCTTCTTAGCGGTTAAAGAAAATTAACTTTATAATTCTAAAGTTTATTAGATAATTTTTAAATCACATCACAATGTTAATATACCTACCGCGCCGCGTTACTATTGAAAGCATGTAATTATTATTACTAAATACATAGAATTCTATGACTAAATATCTATTTAGGTTTCAACTTTAAACATAATCACAAAATATGAGCCATATTGATGGATAGTATGAGGGACAGATTCGTCTTACACTTGCGCTCGCCATTATGTGGGGAAAATATAGGGAAATGAGGTGGTCTAAGAACATGAAGTTCATGAAGTCGATGTTGATGAACAGAAGTTGTATACGAATTTTCAGTTGATCAGTTGGTACTTCCAAAATCAACAATTGAGAATTCGCATGGTCGACGTATTCGTAATAAGAAATGCAATAAGTCATCATAATTTTTTAAATTCCCATTTCTGCACAGATTTTGTTAATATTTTAGAGTCCCATGCACGTGATCTATGAACATAAATTCATAGTTAGAACTAAAAAAAAACGGCCGTCATTCCGAAAACTATTTTTACCAATTGCTTTTAAAATCAATATCTGAGAGTACAAGTAATCTAAGAACATGAATTCATCGTCAGGTCTAAAGAAAAGGGCCGCCATTTTGAAAAATCTTGTTTGTTGCTTGTGGACCTTTGAAAGCTATATAGTTAGATACACAAGGTAGTTAGTCCAATGCGTAGTATCCTCGTGACACAAATAATGCTTTTTTACTAATTTCTGGAAGATATGAAATTTAGTAAGGAAAAGTAAAAAGGTGAAATAAGACCCAGTACAGAATAGAAAGGATGTGCCAGTTCCGACGAAGTTGATAGGCCTACTTGAGACGAGAGCGAAATTGAGGAATATGTTCATTTGCGCAATCCAAATAAGAACTGAATGCTAGTAATTTGAAGTCTCTCAAGCTAATTTAATTGGTCCTCAGTTCTTTACATAACTTGCGTCAATGTAGTCAAGAATTGGAAGGCGAGTATGTATAAGCACATTTTTATTGAAATGGAAATAAATGATCGAAAACGACGCAAATAACTAAGAATGACAAAAGTTTTCCTACTAATTTCATTAAATTGTCGTGTCCAACTTAAGATGTGGTCAAGATAAATGCCCAGGTTTTTAATATTGTCGCAGGTTGGTAAGGAAAATCAGTCAATACAAACATTGTGTGGAGATTTATCTTATATAAAACTCCACGCAATGTTTGCAAAGCTACACAATGTTTTGCAGCACGCTTTTTCAAACTGGCGGCCACTATTTTCAGTTTTCACGATTTTGACGTTCCGATAAAATAGTTAGCCCGGCTAACTTCTGTTATTGAAAATTAGTTTTTGGTCCGATCTACGCAGAATGAGCTTACAGTATCTTGAGGTCTTGCAGTGGTATGCTCGGGTTAGTAACAGTACCCATCCATACTCACTATTGAAACTAGGATGTTTTTTAATTTCAATAGCCTCGCGAATCATCCTTGGTAGGATTAGGAATCGGTGTTCTTTTGTGAGGATTTGTGGTCTATCAAATCTAATGTAATGGCGGGGACGATCTTGAACATGTTCACACACTGCCGACTTCCCGTAACGTCGATGCTTCAAGTCAGCTATATGTTCTTTCACGCGGGTTTTTATAGATCTTTTTGTTTGTACTATGTAAAAGAGACCACATACACTCCTGCACCTTGTAGAGGGATATGACACTTGACGGTAAGTAAAAATTGACTAATCTTCTTCAGCGGTTTTAAGTATGTTTTAATGGAAGCTCGCTTCAAGATGTAGCCAACCTTGTTTGTGACTCCTCTGACATAGGGTAGTACAGCAGGCACGCGCTCGACTGAGGCCGGCTTCACTCGGTCACTGTGACCACGTGTGACGTAGGCGCGGGACCCGAAGCTTATTGTCTTGCAATACTTGTTCGACGTGCTGAAGCTCGGCGGCCAGATGTTTCCTGTCACAGATCAGATCAGAATGTAAAAATTTTACGATTAATTCATATTCACCACTAGGACTCCCAGATATCAATTTTTAAAAGAATTGGTCCCAAAGTGGAGTTTTCAAAATGGCAGCCACTTTGTGCAGTTTTCACGATGAATTCATATTCATAGACTACGTGGACTCTCAGATATTGATTTTAAAAGCAATCGGTAGAAAATTAAACTGGCTGCTTAAAATTGCGGTCTATTATTTAAATATAACCTTATGCGGTGATCACATGGAAGTGATGGAAGGTACAAAATATGAAAGATATCGATTATAAAATCGATATCTTTCATATTTTGTACCTGTCGATCGATCTGTCGCATCCGAAGCTGGAAGCTTCAGGAAGCGGATACTAAGGACAAATATCATGCGAGGGTAGCCGAAAAGCTTGACACCATCGATGGCAGAAAAGAATGTGTGGAAAGAACATGGCAGAACCTTAGGGATGGAATGGTAAGTGCAGCGGAAGAAGTGTGTGAAACGATAAAAGAGGTAGGAGTAAAAGAAGAGATGCATGGTGGAATGATGAAGTGAAAGAAGCTCTAAAGAAGAAGAAGAAAGCATGGTTAGACTACTTGGCCTCTAGTAATGATAAGGATATGAGAGAGAAGATGAAAGAAAGATATAAGCTGCAGAAAGTTCACACGAAAACATTGACTGAGGAAGTGCGTGAAAGGTGTAGAATGGAAGCAGACGAAAGGTTGTCGCATAATTTTAAGGAGAACTCCAAACTCTTCTGGAAAGAGGTTGGAAGGACCCGGAGTGGTGCGACGGCCTTAAGAATGAACAAAGTGCTTTCGAGAACCAATGACGTCCTCTCAGAAAAATCGGACGTCATGCAGCGATGGAGCGAATTTTATAGAGAAATGTATGCGTGTGATGATCTTAGTGAGGGATCCGGGGGTGATGCCGTGACTGGTACGCCAGACCCGGACCTCGATGACACAGAAGTCATCAGTATGAAAGAGATTGAACGTGCGATTCGAAGTTTGAAATGTGACAAGGCTGCTTCCACTCCACCCGGTTATCCACAACCATAGGTAACCCACACGGCAATTATGGATGTAGTCCGATAACTTCGGATAGATATTCGGATGACTTTTCGTTCATTATTAAATTATTCGTAAACAGAAAGACTTGGAAAGAAACTTAAACTTTAAAATCCAGCAGGGGTAAAAGCCTGGACGTCTTTTTAAAACGTCGGGAGTTAAAAATTTAAAATTAACTCGATAAAATCCGTAAAATTAGTTTCATTTGATTTGTAGTGCTCGGGTAAATATAAGAAATCATTAGGGATAAAAGATATATATAAGATAAGAATAAGAAAATATCAGAATTGCAGAAAATATAAAATGTAGCACATAGTGGACAAATAATACATTACCAAAGAGGACAGAGTTGCACAAGAGGAACATTTACGCACGTTGAGTACCTAACGAAAATGCTTATGCTCGACAGTCGACAAATAGCAGGGGCAGGTAGAGGAGGCGATATGTTACCGCATTTTTTATAGAATAAGGGTGGCAAAAGAGCACACAGTCAACCTATTGGTTAGTGGATGCTGTGGCTCATTGACATCTGCCATCTACATCTATCCTTGATTAAGAATAAAAATGCAGATGCTTTGTCACCATAGAAATATAAAAAATTGTCACCCTTGAGATGACAATTTTTTATATTTTATATATATCTGAGATCGAATACCGTGTTTCCAGTAAAAACTCTACACCCACCACACGAAACGCAGCAAGAAGCTGCAATTTACGCTGGTCATCTTTGAGAGTATATAAAGAAGGATTATACAGGAGCAAATTAAAATTTGGACACATTATTACAATGTGTATTGTACAGTACCTATTACAATTTGTACTGCAAGCTGTATCTTGGGCGATTAGTAAACTTAGTAATAAACTTTGTTAGAGAAATAAAAAGAATATTAAACAGAACTTACTGTGCAAAATATGTATATATTTAAAAAAAAAACATTGTTTTTTTTAATCAAAAGTGCTTTGCCAAAATTATTATGATAGTTGCACGTAGTACTTAATATGGCTGGCGGCGTGACAGGCAAATTTCGGCGGACGTGTCGGTCGTTGGCGCGCAAGCACTGTTTCCGAGAAACTGTGTTGCAAGGGTGACTATTTCCGCTAGAACGACGACGTCGTGTTGTCGCGACCAGCAAGGGTAATTTTTTTGGCATCGCTACGCCGTTTCACTTGCTTGACCCGAATAAAATTCGGGGAAATTTATCGAATATATAGTGCTTTATTAATGCGACCTTGGGCATGGTCTTGAGTTGTGCAACTTTAATCAACATACCTTAAAGTAAAGCAAATGATGACTAGTTTCGCAGTGGCTGAACCTCAGGTTCGTTTCCCGCAAGGAACAAGTGTTTGTATGGTCGACAAATATTCGTGTCCTGTTCTTGATGTTGGTCCATGTACAATTTATATATATGTGCCACCTTACATGCCACATTTACATATATGTGTGTAGGTACCACAAAAGAGAAATATTGGTTCTAAGGTACGTACTTACTAATGCTGTTA